TGAGATCTGTCACCCTTTTCTGATTCTCCATACCTCCTTCCCATTTAGCATTAGCAAGCAAATAGCGAACACTATCCTCCTTTTTTAACTTATTTTTCTCATCCTTTCCAATAGGACGCTTATACTTTGTAGATGATCTAGATTCTACTCATTCCAATTTAATAGCTTTTGCTGGAGCTAAACTCCATTTTGATGAATCTGAAGCTCAAATGAGATATGTTGGATAATTATTAAGATAATCTATTACTTCTGACAAATACTTGACCCACTCTCTTATTAATTTAGGATTTTTAGATATTGATTCAATGGCATATTGGATTTTATAAAGCATCTCTGCTAATATCTTATTGAATCATTTTATAAGAGCTAATTCACGATGACTATAAGCACTAATTACTCGAATTATGATATTATGTGCTTCCATTAATTGAGCAGTTTCACTTATGAATTCTTTACCACTATCACATTGTAGAAGTGTTAGATACGTAAGAGGGTTATTGGAGTTATTATAAATTTTCTTAAATGCTTTAGCAACTTTGGAACTATTCTTTGATGTTAGGAGAACACTTATCTTGAACCTGCTACTCACATCTATAATTTGTAATACTGCTTTTCATTTTTTACCTTTATAGTAATCATGTGTAAGAAATAAGAGGTCACATTAATGTACATAATTTGGTTTTTGAATTTTACCATAACTAATCTGTGAAGTATCTTTCAGTAATGGAGCATACTTTTGCCATTCATTCTGGTTTATAAGTCAGTTATGCACTTTTTTGAATAGAAACTGGTACCCTTCCTTCTTGAGGTCTTTATATAATTTTCTAGAATTGACATGATAGCTAGTAGACTGGTAAAAAAGCAATTTACATATTAAGTTTAATTCCTCATTTGAATCAATTCTAATAATAGGCGTGCTCAATTTATGTGAAGCATGGTCTAAAGACCTACTCATTTTTGATATTACTTATTATAGCAAAGTCAAGAGATAAGATAAGAAATGAAGTCTCCTTTCTATGAAAGATATAATATGTCATAAAAAATAGAGCAGAGTCTCATTACTTTATAATAACCATGGCATTTCATAGAGCATGATCCTCTAATTAAATAACTTATAGATCAGCTACGGATAAAGAACTCGAGCTAGAGCAAATTAATCAAGAACTCCAGGAGGTATTACAATCAGAGATAGCCATCAACAAATCGAATGAGAAATACATAAATAAGCTAGAGCGCAAATATACCAGATGTGAGAATGAAATTCAATCTCTCAATAAAGAACTGAAACAGCTTGAGAATACTTCAGAGGAAAAAAAGGCCGAGTTGAGATCAGAAATATTATCTCTTAAAAGAAGCTTATATCAAGCTAAAAAGGAAATCCGAGATAAGGTATCCTATATCAATAATATAGAGAAGCAATTATAAGAATCAGAAAAGTGGGTTCAAAATCTAAGACATAGATTCAAAGTTATTTCTTCTCAAAGAAGCTCTCCAAGTTTATATAATTCAGAAGAGGAAGATATAGATATGGTGAATCTTGACCTTTTTATACAAATTGAACAAGGCTTGTATCATATTGAAAAACATCTTAGAGGTGGTACACCATTAAATAATCCTATAAATATTATAAATGGCATTAGAGATTCCTTAAATACTGTTCAGCATAATTATCAGTCTGCATACCAGGATATAGATGGTATTATCACTCAATGAGATAATAGCAATAATCAGATAGTTTGGCTATAGCAGGATGTCAATTACTATAGACAACAAAATGCCAACCTTCAGAACCAAACCAATCAACTTATTCAAGTATGAGATATCTTGTAAAATCATGTTAACTGACTTACACTAGAGCGTAACAATTCTCAAAATAATCTTGCTTTAATGACTACAGCTTATAATAATGAGTGGACAGAATGTCATAGATGGAAGGGGATTGCTCAGCAATTTGAAAGAGGAATGCAGATGCAGATTAATACTTTATTACTTGACAAATTTGTACTAAATTTTAAACTCCAGAGATGCCAAAGACATGGTAGAAAATTGCAACAAAAATATAATATGTGGGGGTATTTGTGGCATAATGTTACTTTGGTATTAGAAGAGCAATTTAAACTTAGATATGCTTTTGAAATTATTTTTAAGGTATTTATTCATTGCTTAGAACAAGAGCTACAACAATGCCAGGCTAATAAAGGATTATTAGAATATAATTGAGATCAGCTCTTTGATAGATATTACAATAAATTCAAGAATCAGAAGGCAAGTCATATCAAGTGGAAAAATAGAGAGCACAATTCACAGCAATTAATTTTAAATTTACAAGCCCAAATTTTATTACTACAAAATAATATACTGCAAAATCATAATAACAATCAAACAGGTATGGTGGATTACGAATTAAAAAAATTTCATGGATATCCTACTAAAGATCCTGAAGAACATATTGAAGAATTTAGATTATGACTTGTAGGTTTTGGAATAGATGTAGAGGCTGGACATGCTAATAGAATTAATACTCATGGTGTTTTTATAACATCTCTCAAAGATGACTCTAAAGATTGGTATGAAAGAACCATCCACAGAAAAAATTAGGAATTGAGAAATTTACTTGATAATATAATACAAGCAAATTTAGCTGGTATTCAAGGAAGAAATGCTGGTCAAATTGGAGCACAGGCCTTAAATCATGTAAATAGGCAGAATGGTAATATTGTAATTCCAGCTCATACAGTATTTGATGAAGATTGATCTTTTGCTGATGGATGATCAACTGATCGCTTACCCAATGCACCTAATGTTAATACAGGTAATATTGTAGTTGTACCTGGTATTTGACTCGGACAAGTATTATACTGATTTAGAACTAATTATCCTATAGTTACTGCAGAGAAACAGCGAGTACTTTTTGGTTCAACAGTTCAAGAAAGTAACCCCGTTGGCCATTTCTATTCTAATTTACATAGATTAGCTAGGCTTGCTGGTATTGATGAACAACAAATTTGATTGCAATTCCTTCATGGGCTTTCACCTATCAACCAGATAGAAGTTCATTATTTAGGAATCAAAAAATCTCCAGATGAGTTACTTCCAAAACTTGAAGAAATTGAAAGATATACAGCAGAACAATTATCTAGAGCTTACCTGCATTCAAATCCAGATTCAGTATCATCTAGTAAAGGTCATGGAAAGAATAATTATTCAAGCAATATAGGTATAACTGAAGCTGAAGTCAGAAACTTGGTAAAATCTATGATGTTATCTGAATAATCTCAACCTGTCTCGCAAACTATCTCTTCTAAATCTCAGGAGAACCAGATCACACTTTCACAAGATGATTTCAAAAAAATTATAGCAGGTTTGAAGGGAACTATTGCTAAAGGACAGCAAACTTTGAAGAAACCCCCTGGACCAGGGAAACAAAAAGCTGATGATCTTGCTTTGGATCATCTTTTAGATAGTGTTTCTGATGACAGAGATCCACTATTATCTGAGGACTATGACTATGATCCAGTTGAAGATTTGAGATTACAACTTGAACAGTTGGATATTAATCAAGCAAAATTAGCTCAAGTAATACATGCTATTTTAAAATCTTCTCAATACAAATGTTCAAAGTGTGATAAAAAAGGTCATAATTCTTGCAACTGCCCTAAAAATAAAAAGAAGAGCAAGTCTAGACGTTCTAATAAAAGCAGATCCAAGAAAAAAGGTAGGGTTAATCTTGCTACTAAAGATTCAGATTCTGAGTCTTATGCTAGCTCTTCTGATAATGAATCTAATTCCAACTCTGACTCTGGATCTAGTTCTGAATCAGAATCTGATTCTGTGAATGACTTAACTGAAACTGAAATCGTGAAAATTATTAATGCTGTTAAATCAAAAAAAAAGTAAAGCCAAAGAGTAAATCAAATAAATCATTATCTAAAAAGCCTAGTTCAAAGAAAAGTTCTTCATAAAAAATATAAAAGAAATCAGGTGCGATTATTGACTCACAAATTCAAAAAATTATTCTAGTTATGTTTAATGATCCAGAGGTTATAGAAACTATTAAAAACAATATTAATAATACAAATTTATCTATGACTCGAAGAGTCACTCCTGAAGGGCCTGTGAAATCTGACTTTATAAATTATTGAGAGCTGGCCCCAGAAATATCCAAATCAGATGATGAAGAGGAGATACTGAATGATCCTATGGAGATTGATTTTGTTCGAAGAAAGGAACCTATCACAAGTCTTGCAACTATACCAGTTAAAATTAAACACTTAAAAATTCCAGTATTAGTACTTGATAGTGGGGCTAAACCCCCAATTATATCAGAAGATATTGTTAAACATGTAAATTGGCTGATTGATAAATCAGAAAAATATGATCTTAGTGATGTTGCTATAGTTCTAACAGAATCTATCGGTATTACTTGTAATTTTCTAATAATATTCCCTCCAGATTTTACTATACATAAAGATTTTGTAGTTGTATATATCCCTAAACCAACATTAATATTTCCAAACTCACTTCTCAAGAAATATAAATATGCTATAGATTAGGGGAAAGATGAATTGAAAATTCCTTTCAATGGGAAGGATCACATTATTCTAGTAACTATGCATAAAGTCAAGAATAAGCTTGAAGTAAATTGCACTACTGCATCTCAGAATAATAAGTCATTGATATCCAATCAAATTTCTCAAGAAATGGATAGTGATAAGGATGATAATATAACATTAGAGGAATGGTATGCTCCTGCAGACTTTAGCCCAGATTTTGATGATCCGTTGTTAGCAGAGCAAGTACCTTCAGTACTAAAAAAAACACATGAGTTATGAGGAGTTAGAAAAATCACTATATGAGGTACTCGAATCTAATACTGAATTAATCAAGCTTAATAAAAAACTATGGGCTTATAACAAATCTGATATTAAAATAGTATGTAGGCTCGAAGAGCCATTGCTCTGCAATAGATTGCAAACTACTTTAGAAAAAACAAAAATAGATTAGTTGAAATCTAAGATCCTTTTCATCTCATGTTTAGCTTCTTCCCTTTCTTTACAATTTTGTGCAAGCTTAACTTGTAAGTCATCCATTTCATCTACTTTTTTTATCAGAATATCAGTTATACCAACTTTATTAGCTGAAAAGCTAGTCTTCGTCCTAATAATATTGACTGAATCAGATACTTGAACAGATCTAGAGCTGGATCCTGGTTTTCTTTTCTTTGACTTTCTATCTGAAGTATTATTTTCAGATATTATCTTAGAAGAAATAATATTATGTATTAGTTACTATTTGCGCAAGGGTATACCTTTAGCATGTCTTTTCCAAATTTTATATATTCTACGAGTTGAAGTACTATATCTATTAGCCATTTCCCTGCATGCATTTTTAACTGTCCCTTGAGATTGAATGATTTCCTCAATAGCTTCTGGTAATAAATAAGGAGTACCAGCATGATAATATTCTATAGTTATATGTTTCATCCTTTTTATAATTATAAAAAATTATTGAAAATTATTGGAAATTATTGGAAATGCTAAAACATATCTATATTTCTTATGTTAAAAAATAACTGGTAATTATAGGTAATTACATACTTAATATTTAATAATTTTCTAAAAAAATTGGTAATTATCTATTATTGTTAAATTATATTGGAACATAATTTTTTTGATAGCATTATCGATAAGTATATATGTGTTTCATATTTTGCTATTTTTCATAATATTTTTCTTTATTTAATATGACCAATGTAATAGACCTTAAAAAAGAATTATATAATACCCTCCAAGATTCTTCTGAGATAGTTTCATACAATGCTAAATTATAGGATAAGTATGAAAAACAAGAAAAAAAAATCAATTGAGAGAGAGAACAATAGGATCAGGATAGAAAGAAGTGGAGTAAAAAACTAGGAGGGACTAATACTGAGATTCAGAAATTACATACTCATGATCTGGAACTTATTAAAGAGACCAGATATTTACAGATTGAAAATGCTTGCAAAGATATATCTCTTGCAGAATCCAAGGCTAAGTATGCTACAAAATTAAAGGAGATTAAATTGTTTCAGAATGAGATGAAATTATTGAAAGATAAGCTAGATTTATCTTAGAAAGACTCATCAAAGAAAGGGTCTGAAATCGACTCTCTCAAGTCTAAGATAGTTGAATTAGCTTTAAAAATTAGTGAATTGGAGTGTCTGAAATCTGAGAATATATTGGGATCTATAATTGGTAGAGATGACGAGGGGCAGAGTCTCATGACTCAAAGAGTTACTCTAAAGGAGCCTGTTCCCACAATAAAAAATATGCTATGCGAGGAACAAAGTTTCATAACCAAGCCTAATGATATATCTGTAGTATTACAAAGCAGACCATTAGATGATGAATCAGAGATTCAAGACTCTGTCTCTTCTTTGAATCATGACACTTATGTGTCTAATGAATCTAGTAAAAATCTAAGTAAGTATTTTGTATGCAGAAAAAGTATGGATCAAACTGAAAAAATTGATAATAATATCTTGACAGATACTAGCATCTTTGGTACTTGCTTTGCTAATGATAAAATTAATAATATGTATCTTGAGTCAGAAATTCATGGCTTATTGTAGAACAATGGCATTTACGTACTTGCCACTGACACTAGCTCTACTATTATACCAAATAATATTGATAATGAAATAACTCCTATACCGAACATGACTCTGTACCTTGCATAACCAGAAAATAACATATCCTCTTTGATTCAATCGAATTCTCAGATGGGATCTGATTCCGAGGCTTTGCCTCTTCTAATAGGAGAAATAGGAGTGATGAGACCTAGTCTCGAGGCTTTGCCTCTCCCTGTTATGGCAAACACTTTAATGTCACCGCTATTAGCATATATTTTTCTTGCTCTGTTAATTATTGCGGTTATATGGTTTGTGAGATGCACATGGAATATAGGTAGGCTCAAAATGCCATTGCTCTGCAGGCCTGAAGGGGCAACCCTAAAGGGTCATAAAAGACATGATCAGTTATTGAATATGTGGGCTAGGTATTAGGAACTATCTATTTAAACTTCGATATTATTTATGTATGAAAAAAAATATTATTAATAATATATAGTGGGGCTAGTATCTAAAGACACATAAGTATCTTAGTAGATTATGGCGATCTTAGCTAAGAATACTATTATGAAGTAATAATCCTTTGGGTCTAACAATATAGATAAATTAATTTAAGTCTTTGATATATTTCGTAAGCTATTTTTTGGCTTCTCTCTGGAAATATGCATTAATCTGCTTTTTTTTCTTATCCGAATCTTTAAGTTGCATAATTTTATGTGTAGATGATGGTTGATATTTCTCATCTTCATTGATAAACCGTGCACATAATCCCAATGTACTTTCTATATAGTGGTTGATATTTATTTCCATATTCTGCTCTTTTACAAACTCTGGATATTCCATATAATCACCAAGTCTATATGGTGTTAATTAACCTTTTTCATCATGATAATATTCACCTTTTATTATTACATAACTGAAGCATTTGTCAGGATCTGGGATATTCAATTTTTTTTCTTTTATTTGTGTTATAAAATACTGGACACGAAGATTTTTTTTCTTAGGCTTCCATGTAGTCATCTCAATAAATTGACTAAAGTCCCATTGCTTATCTCTGGCCTCTCTAAGAGTATCTTCAATAATTTTATGAATTGATCATATATTATTTATATTTATAGTCTCTCACATAATTTTTTCCCCGATGAATTTGAAAAGCTGAGACTGGCCTTGCTTTACGCTATCAATCTCTTTTTTAAAGAGATTATCTGGTTTGAAATTGACAATCCCTTTATGTAGTACATCAAAGTATTTTTTCTTGTCAGTAAAGCAAACAGGAAATAATACCTCTTCGTATGCCATTTTTTATCCTCAGATAAGTATTTACTTGATTATATAACTTTTCTATCACAGTCATAGTAATTTTAACCATTTCAGACCAGTATTCCTTCTTAGAAAGATTCTCTTTATTAAAATCTTTATCATATTTTTCATAATATTTATCCAGATAGGTAAGATATAAAGAATTGATATTCCTATATTTTATTCTGAAATCTTTCCCAGATACAAATTTAGCAATAATATCAATATTATATTGACCTGCAGAAGTAATCCCTCTGGCTAATTCACGAAGAAAAATTGGAGATTTTGAATTTCCTGCTTCCCTGTAAAAAGTATTCATATATACCTTCAAAGTCTTTTGTTTTGAATCCAAATAATCGTAATCGAAGCATATAGATGAGTATTCTAAATTTAAACTTTCCAGGATTTTTTTATCTTTCACTTTAACTGAACTTATTATTTTTCCAAGGCATTCCTTTTTCTTTCCTAACAAGGCAAATTATGCTTTAAGATTTACTCTCTTATTGAATAGATCCTCTAATATAATAAGATATAAACTCTTCTTTTCGAATTAATTATTATGTCTTACACACCAAGCATGGATAATACAGTTATTAAATGGAAACTCAATCTTATGCAAGTTATTTCTATTTTTTTGTATGATATCAGTCTTTCTATAAGTTAATATCATTTTTTCCAGAAAAAGGTTGTAAGCCATAATAAGACTGAGATATAAAGATGCAAAATCCAATCCCGTAACAGACCTCTTTGTCTCAATTCCTTTTTTAGGCAGAAATATGTATGTACCAGGATACTTATCTTTTTCTATATTTTTACATGATCTCGTACTAAATAGTATATTAATTTAGTGGCATAAGCCTCCAGAAGATTTCATACTTTTATTCTATTTGCCCGATAATGTGAATTAAACAAAGATACATAAGCTATAGAAGCAACCTCTCTATAGTCATTAATTACATTCCGCTTAATCATAAGCTCCTGGCAACGCAATACATCTATAATATAATAATATGCTACTTTATGTATGTTTTCTATAGTAGAATATGATTTATTTAGATCCTTTGGATCATTATCCCACAATAAGGAAATACTCTCTTTCACTTCTGAGTAAATTTTCCACATTTTATTATATGGCATATCCACTTTACCTCCCAATCCACATATTTTTAAGTAAAATATAAGTGAACTTTTTTTATCAACTTCTACACGAGGATAAAGTTTCATAAAATATGCATGTACGTCAATTGATATACAACCTGGTATTTTAAGAAAAGTGGAAATATAATTATCTTCTGGACTAAGTTTGATTATAATCAATTATATCTTATCATTTTCTTCCTCATTATTATCAATGGCATCTTTTTTAATTTGAAAACTATTTTTAGATTTCACCTCTACTTTCCCGTAATAATTCCATTTTTGAATTTCTTTCAATGATTTAAAGTTTCTCATCATTTGCTTCCATATCCATTCGAGAAGATTAAGTCTACAAGCTCTTTCCATAATAAATGGCCAATCATACTCAGAATTACTAAATCCGAATTGAATATCAGGGATGAAAGCCTTCCAGCATAATGCAAATGCTTTTAGTAAATTTGTCTGATTCTCACATACAACTGTTATCTATCGAGAGTCTGATGCAATTTTAAGATCAACAAGACAGATTTGTTTTAGTGGTCTCAGATTGTCTTTCCAATGCAAAGTTATACAAATCATGAATACGGTACTTTCTTCATCATATATTTCAGCAAATTCGTCTAACTCTCATGATTGTGTCTCTATATCCCATGTAAGAATAAGTGTACGATTTCTCATGAGTGCTGAAATTGGAAAATGGTCACTTATTATTTTTAGATCTTCTACTGGTTGAAAATTATTTACAGAAAGTCGAAAATTATGCATATAATAAGAATATTTCTTGTATCTATACTTACTTATCATAGACCAACCAGAAATCGCAATTCTATTTTCTCTAGCTATTTTACGGTGGAATGAGAACATATTATCTGAAGCAATTTCAAAATTATTATCTTGGATAGCTTGGAGAGCTCTCTTCCTATCCCTACTACCGAGTGTAAAAATTCATAAATATAACTTTTTTTCTGTATGATAACCACACAAGAGAAAGGCCTTAATATATTCTATTTTATAGATATTTATTGTATTACTAAGAATTTCATCTATTTTTATCCTAAACTCATTTATAGTTTCATTATTAGGTATAAGTATATTAAAGAAAATCTGGATTTCCATAAGAGTAACTATTACTTTTTGGCTATTGATGAGAGAGCCGTAAAGATGTAAAATATAATGATTTTTTTCACCTATTTTTTCTGATGATCTCTCAAAATTAACAGCTATAAAAGAGATCTCTTCTCATTTAGCCAAAGCATTATTAAGAATTGCAGATAAACTCTCATCATTTTCCACAACTATATTATCATGAGTTGGAAATCCTGTTAAATAACTTTCACTAGAATATTGGATAAGTTGGTCTTTTTCTGTTTTTTTATTTTCCGAAATCTGTGATTAAGGAAAAGCTTTAAACCTCCAGTGGTACAACACCCCACTATTTTCTTTCTCTATCTTTATCTCCAGCTTGAAATTCTCTGAGTTTTTTGGGCTTTCTGGTCAAGGTGGTACTCTCACTTCTGCTGACACGTGATTAATATTTTCTTGAAAATTTTGGGTATCCATGATAAGTATATTTTACTGCTAGTATATTGTTCCGGAAAAAAAAATTCAAAATGAAAATTAATTCTAAAGAATAGTTATTAGTAGATAATAACTATTATATCGAAATTATATAAATATGGCATTTTATCATTGCTCTTATATTCTTAGGACTGGAAAAGTTTGTAATTGAGATTGCTATAGGCCTGAAGGGTACAAAGTTCACTGGAATTCTCTACCACACGTACCTTGTAAAGAATGTAGTAAGTTGACTTATTCTAATTATAATTATTGTGATACTCATGCAGATAAATATTGAAGGCAGGATCAATATCAGCAGAAAAAGCTGGAGAAGATAGTACAAAATAGTATTATAAGTTCAAAGAACCATTACTCTACAGGCCCAGGCGATAGATCAAAGATCTGAGACTCTGCCCTCCTAAAGGATTATAAAAAATACATAATAAGTATATATGCGATATCTTAATATGGCCAAGTATCACTGAAAATTTTTAGTGACAGAAAATTTTTGGAGTCAAGATCTCTATCAAATTCCATATTTTTAAACTTTTAGAAAGCTTTCTAAATATCTGTCACTGAAAACTCTAAAAAAGATCGAATTTTTCTAGCTTTTTTTCTTTTTTTTTATATATAAGTATATTACATATATATAATATATATTGGGTATATATTGGATATATATCAAAGGTATACCATAAGAAAAAGTTTTATTTTTTTCCTAGAATTTTACTTTATTTTCAGAGTTTTCAGTGACAGTATAGAAGAACAAGATAAAAAAGAATTTGAAACCAAAATTTAATAATAAATCCATCACCAAAGTTGTCTCTAAAAATAGTATTGTCTCTAAAAATTTTTAGTGACAAAAATTTTGGCATAACATACTATATAATGTATCTGATAATACATATTCAATAGCATTTTTTGATAGCATAACCTGATAGTAATATCGATAGTATTTTTTGATAGTATAACCTGATAGCATTTTTTGATAGCATATATATGATAGCATGACTCAATAGCATGTATATAACATAACTAGATATAGCATTTACGCAATTAATTTTTCTATTAAATATTCTATACGGTATATAAAATAACAATAATGCAAGATCACAAGAGCAAGCTAACTCAAGCTATTGATAAAATTATAATGCAAAAGATTAAGAAAACAGACTATAATATTCATGCTACTAAAGCTATCAATAAACTCTTAATACAGGAGATTGAAAAGAACTGGAAAACTTATATAGAAAAGCTAGATCAAGATTATGATTCTGAGTCTGAAGATGAATTAAAAGATTTTAAAAATAAAATAAAAGATATTATATCTAATCGTAAACCTGCAATCAAGAATCTTATTACTACTAATGATATGTAAATTGCAAGATGTAATCTTACTTTTTTTTGTCACGACAAAAATTTGTTATGATCATCATTTGAGTGATGTGAAAAATAGAAATTACACATTAAATCCACGATAAGGCCAACTCAGTAGCATAACCTATCTTGGAGAATATCTTATACTTGAAATTAGCTATAGACATCAAACTGATATATAATAGTTAGTATAAAGTCTGATGACATGAACACAAATTTGTCATCATATTTTTTATAGATCATAGAGTACTCAAGAGTGATGACAGACTCGCGAACTAATTATCACTTGAATGATGATATATATATGATCTTATCATCACTCAAATAATGACATACATGTGATTTTATCATCACTCGAATGATGACGTACATATGATCTTATTGTCACTCGAATGATAATATATATGTGATTTTATCATCACATCTGAGTGGGAATAATCTAGACTAAGTGAAAATAACATAATTATGTTATTTCTACTAGAATATAAATATGAATATAAAAAATAAATATAATAAAAAAAATAATTATATAATTGAATAAAAATAAGGATATTTAGATGATAAATTATAAAAATAGAGAAAAATAGAATTTTGCATAATCAGAGAAAGATTATAAAATTAAAGAATTTATATTATTATAATAATATTTAGTTCTTTTTCAGAAGATTTTTGCTTTTACAAAAATTAAGCAATAATCTTTAATATTTTATATTTTTTTAAATAAAATAACTTAGATAATATAAAATTAAATCAATTAATAAATATTTTTTCTAATTAATAAATATTAAATATTTTTTGAGTAATATTATATAGTTTTTTATATAAATCTATATTTTTAATTTATATTTTATATATACTTAGTTTAATATATTTAATAAAATAATTTAGTTAAAGATCTCTTTTGATCTTTAATAAAATGATAAAATATTAATATTCTAATAAAATAATAAAATATTATTCTTAAATTAATAAATTTATAGAAAGATTAAATAAATTTTATATGATATTATTAAAAAATTAATTTAATCATATAAAAAAATAAGATATATATATATTATCTACTTATTTTTCAAGAAAATTATTAATTCTTCTTTTAATTTCTTGTATATTTTTTTGATATTTTTATAATTAAATTAAAAATAAATATTCAAGTTTATAATATTGAACTATCTTTTTATTATTTTCTAGTAGTTGATTATAGATTATAAATATTATTTTTTTAAGTTTTGTTAACTAGTCTTTTTTAAAAAAAAGATTTAATTTATTTAGATATAATAATAAATAATTCTGATTTTTCTTTAATTAATATTGAACTATTAAAATTTATGAATTCTGTTTTTTTTTCAATAGTTTTATTAAAAATAATTTTAGACTTATTTTCTGAAATATTGATAATAAATTCATTTAATTAATCAAAATTTAGATCTATAATAATAGTAATTGATTTTAAGAATAATTTAATAGATTTAATTAATAGCTAAGTTTCTAAAAAATAATTATTATCTACTTTAATATCTTTAATAAATTCAGATTACATAAATAAATCTAAAAGAGAAGTATAAGTTTCTTGTTCTTTATTATTATAAATAAGTAATTCTAAGAGTATAATATTAAATTTAAAAAGTTTTTCTCTAAAAATAAAAGTAGTTTTAGCTTTATTTTTTTCTTTCATTTTAATTTATTAATATTCAGAGATTAAGTCTATAGATAAAAATCAGTAGGTGAATTTATTATTTTATTAATTCTAAAGTATAAATATATATCTTTTTGAATAATTATATTTATTTTTTTATAATTAATACAGAATTTTTTCTTTCTATTCTTTTTGAAAACTTTAATAATAAGTGAAATTCAAGAACTAATTGAAAATTAAATTATATTTATATTTAATATTTATTAAATTTTTTCAAATATGAATTATTAATCTAATAAAGTTATTCTATAAGATTATTATTTAATAGATAATTTAATTTTAAAATATATTTTATATTAAATTAAATTACTTTAGTTAAGTTAATTAGTAATAGAAGCCACAACTAGCTACAATTCTATCATAATTCTCTGATTAGCTACCATAACTCTGTCATAATTCTCTGATTAGCTATCGCAAGTCATAATTGTAACAGAATTCACTTACAATAATAGTAAAAATACTTTAATAGATTATACTTTTTTTGAATTAGATTATGAA